GCTGTTTTTTCTTTTTTGAAAAAAATCATGAATGCTTTGTTCCTTTTCTTACAGATAATGGATTGGAAATATAATTTGTTCTTTTTAATTGGCCATATCTGTTTCCTAGCTGACACATGAAGAAAAGAAATGCATATAAAGATTTCATATTTTGATACATCTTCCTATTACCTTCCGTATTTAAAATGCATTTCTGTATGACTTTGAGAACATCCATTTAAGCATATCTAATCTTATATACCTCTTATACAGCTGGAGCTCGCTTTTAAAAAGGAGTTTGGAGAAGCCTCAAACCCTTACAATGATGAGGTGTGTTTCTTTACTGAGTGACAAGAACTTTCTTAGGTTTACCAAAATGCCTACGTGGAAGTGATGGCTGTAAGAAAAAATAAGTATTGATTGTTTGAGAAGTTCTAACAAATTCACATGATCTTTTAGTACTGTTTGTTGACTACTAGACACTAATTTATTCAGTTGCCAATTTATAGCATTGCTCTGCTTTTGCAGTCATGCTTCAAAATATTCCAACAGATCCTCATGTGGGTTGAAGAGCAAACTTATTGGATAGCTTATCGTTTTCTTATTTTGGGTTTTGAATTGGAACTTTACTCCGTACATGATTATTGCATGGTATACTGGTACATATATACAATTTTGATCAAGCTTGCAGAGAAGACGCATCTCAGAATCGTAATGAATAGTGGCACTGGTATGTACTTCATCGAATTATCAAAGTACACCGCATATTTGTTAAAACAGGTTTGCTTACAAGTTGAAATCTATAGCAGTGTATAACTTAGTATCCTTGTAATTGTGTACACAAAAATAAGAACTAACGAATTCCCTCTGGGCTCTGACTTAATTATGCTGTTTTGCTTTGTCTTGATCAGCCAAAAAGAAAGCAAAGAAGAAAAAGGATTCTTTTAAGGATGTAGGAAGAGATTTTCAGATGCCAGGAGCTGTCTTGTTTCTTCAGAGCCAAATATATCTAGCTGAAGGATTATGCATGGTAATGTCATTTTTGGGTTGTCAACAATGAAACCTATACTGGGTGTCAGTGGCTATGATATTTCCAAAAAAAAGTTATAAATTTTTAAATTAAGTTGTTATACTGGGACTGAGGGTTTCTAGCTCTGCCACTACTGTTTTTTTTTTTTTTTGTAAGTCATTAATTCGTTTCACGATCATATGGGACAGCTTCTGGTCTGTTAACCTCATGAAGAGATATTTTGACAGTATGAACCCAACCCCCAAAACAAAAAAAAAAAAAAACCCAATTTTTTTTTTTTGCTTCAGCTTTGTATATATAGATATATATATATATATATATATTTTTGGTTTATTTTCTAGATGTTTGCCGCCTTGAAGAATGAGCACATTATAAGAGCCCCGCAGAGCCCTTTCAATACAGAGCATGAGGTAAAGGTTTTCCCTTCTTACATTGGGAGTGTTCATTTGTTTAAACAACCCTAGTTTAAACATTATCAAGCCTTTTGAGACTGGTACAAAATCATAGCCTGTATATCTGAAGTCAATTTATTAATTCATTCTTCTCAAGATTACCATGATTTTATGAGTAATTAGCAGAAATGACCTATTGCATTTAGTTGATTTTCTTTGCTGTCGAATCATTGTGTATGAAGTGGCTAAAAGATATGTTGACTCAAGTTAGTTCCACATCTATTGTGTATATTGTGGTTTTAGTTAGCCTAAGGAAACTAACTCAATTCTTATTGAAAAACCAAACAAATGTTAGCAAAAACTAGTCCAGTTGGTAGAATGCTGGACAACATCCCACAAGGATGTGCTTTTGTAAGAACCTTATTAGTGAGTAATTTGTAAGTACTTTTTTAAACACTTTGAGCCATGAGACTTGTTCTGACTTTGGCAAGCTTCTAGGACCAACTCACATAAATTTTATTTGTTCAAGAAAAATAAATGAAGCGATTACTTTTATGTTAATGAGGGGTGGAAATTCATTTATTTTTCCTTAACAGTGGTTGTGGTTGTACTTTTTATCGGGTCTAGGTGCGCAAGTTCAATCAAACCCAACATGTTTGTTGACCCTCAAAAGAAAATAGGGAAAAAGAAAAAGAAAACCAACTGTGTTTACGTGGGGGCTAAACTCTTGGAAATGATAGACAGTCATGGCTTATGTCTCAAATTATATGTCTTCTACAACCTAATTCATTTGTTCATCCTTTTGTCCAGATATTCATTCAGCAATTTGAGCTGCTACGCAAAGCTTGTCTCCCTGATCACATCTCTTACAGATCCTTTAAGGAATCAACAACGCATGCCAATTTCTCCGTGAGTATTCATACATGCTCAACCATCATTTTGATGTTTAAGCCCCCATAGGTAAGATGCTTAACATTTATAATGATCAATTTTCCTTTCCAGAGCCTAGTCATGTGTGATTACTTCAAGGAAGCCCAGAAAATTGCGAAAGATGCCAAGAGTTGTTTTGCCAATGACCCCGACAAGATGAGTGAGCTGCGTCGAGTAGAACAAGTAGCAGAGCATAATAGTGTCGCTTTAAACCTCATTTGCAGGGTAGGAGCCATTGATCCATCACTCGAGGTTTCTTTTGAGTTCAATCACCATCCATTTTTTGCTACAGCTATTGTGAAGAGATCTTGATGAACGAGAGTGAGTGGGAGAGAGATGCCACCAATTTTGAAATACATTACTGAGTGTTAGGAGCCAGTGAGTTTTAATGTTCATTTTAGCTCTTGTATCAGTAATGTTCTTTCGATCAAATTTTGTGGTTCACTTATGATATTGAAATTGTAATATTTTTTTGATGGAGAAATAAATAAATTAGTTTTATAGACTTTCTACTCGGTCCCTACTTCCTTTGCTGCACTGGAAAAGGAGTAACTTTTCGATGCCTTTTCACAAAATTGGATTGTCCATGTTCACAAGAGTGATGAGAGACGTGATGTATTTGTTTTTCTCGAGTGACGAAAAGATATTGTCACGCCTCAAAATAAATGTTAATCGGTACAGGATTTGAATCATATAACACATCTCTATAAACCTCTAACTTTAAATTCTTCTCCTTTTTAAAATATAATTAAATTTATATTAAAATTTTAATATTTTTGATATTGGTCATTAAAATAAAGTTTAAAAAAAATTGTGTAAAAATATCAAAAAAACTTTACTTGTAAATAAGATCATCCTAAACTCTACGATATAAAAATATTCATAGAATACCATATTAATTAGGAGCTTAGCTCTTTTAATGAACAAACAGCATATATACCAAAATAGAAACTGTAAATATAGCATATATGAAGCACTTAATCAGACTTCTCCAAAAATAATATACATAAGCATTTATAGTTACATAAAAAGAGAAATTTCAATCAGTTCTTCACCCAGCACATCTAAGAGTTCTCATGATTCAACAAGAGGATCGATGTCAACTAAGTTATCCAAGACAAAAAATAATTTTTCAGTGAATAACGTCCCAACAATAAACAACAGAACATAAATAAAATAAAAATTTTAAAATAATTATGTACGTTAAAGAGACAATAATTTTTGTAAAAGTTTAATAAATTTCATAATAAAACGGCTCTATAAAATTTTAAATAAAGATCTCAAATCATTAAACTATCATAGTAAATATTAATAGTACTTGATTTTAAGAAAGCACACAAATGAAATAAAAATAAATTTCTTTATAAACAAATTACTAAATAAAAAACCAATGGAACATAAATCATCAAATAATTGAATTCATAATTATAGAGACTTATTAGAATAATTAACAAATGTAGACACACAATCCACGAGAGTAACTAACCAAATGCAGCTTATGCTATGAAAACAAATGTGAACACACCGTCTACGAGGGTAAGTTACCAAACACGGCCGAAGTCACAAAACAAACGTAGACACACAGTCCACGAGGGTAATGCTAACCAAACGCAACCTGAAACTATGAAACAAACATGAGTACGATGCTTATGAATAACCATTCCTCCATCCACATGTGTTAGCCATCACACGGGACTAACACCTCCTATAAATACCTTGCTAGCTAGGTGTACCATGATGCGCCAAAGGCTAACAGAATTGCCGTTAGCAATCAATATTCTGTATAAAGTTCCTTTGAAATTCATTTTCAAACATGTGAGAAAATCATCACTCGCAAAATATAATTTCTCTTTTCAATATCAAACTCACATAAACCATGTAAAACATCAATCTTTCTAAATATGAAAATCTATAATTAATGTTTCATAAATTGTTCAGTAATTTTCATAGTTGGCTATATCAAATAACATACTACTAAAATTTGTAAAAATATTTCTGTCAATCCAAAAAGTATAAGTAATGATTCTAAGAAGTAAAGCAATTTAATTAACAAAAGGAGCTAATGCAAGAGAAATATATAATATCTATAAATTGTTAAAACAATTTTTAATAAAGTTTTTTTTTAAAATATAAATTGATTGGAACGTTATCCACTTACCTGATAATTTTTCAAATAAATAACTTACTTCTAACTGATCCTCTTCTAGTAATGCTTGCTCTTTAAATCCTAGTGTCCAAAAAATACCATTGTTATTTTCTTTTGTAGATCTTATTATTATCATCATCAATCTAAAATAATTCAAAAAGTAACACAGCTCTTAACTTTCAACATTTTTTAAACATTTCATAAATATTCTAATGACTAATATCTTAATAACAAATTGGCTCTTGAATTACGAATTCATAATATTATTTTCAAACTACTCTATTTCTAATTTCAACTTTTTTTATAAAGAATAATTCCCTTCCATAATAATTTAATTATCAATAATACAATCATCACATCTAGTCCCATCATTCACCAATATTCATCCTTTTAAACATTTTGTCAAACATTTTATAGACATTAATTTTTAAATTTTAATAGTAAATTCTTACTTCAAACACCATCCCATAATTTATCTAACAATTCTTCAGCATCGATATAAAATTTAATCTGACATCCCAAGTTTATTTTTTCAACAAAATCAATATAAATTTAGTTGTACTCCAAGTACAAACAACATACAAAGATTTTTGCTTGGTTCAGAAACCTACTCCCTTTCTATAATCACGCACAGCAGTAGCCTCACACACCAAGTAATATTGTCTCAACTAATTACACACACACACACACAGCTACCCAAAAAAAAAAAAAATCGAAGCTCCTCACCTGGAACCAGCTTGATCGAGCAGAGAAGGAGATGATCCTAGGCGAACGAACAAGGAGGAGGAAGGAAGAAGAATCTGCAACAGCATGAACGAGAGAGGAGCGAAGATGTTTGCAGCGAGAAACAGGGGATGATGAACAAAGAACTGAGGGAAATGAACAGCTCCTGCTTCCTCGAACGCATGCGCAGATGAACGAAAGAAATGGAAAGTTTGTACCTCACTCACCAATACATACGTATGCAAAGAATCAAACGAGAGAGAGGACAAAATCAAGCTTCCATGGCTAACCATGAGCACTGCCACAACGCACACGAACAGAGGAGGAAGGGGAGCACAGTCGTCAGTGATAACGGTGGAGGAAGGAGAAGATGCTATTGCACGAAGGAAGAGGGAGAGGAACGAACTCTACTCACAGCATCCAGACGACGCCAACGAGAAAGAGAAAACAAGGAATCAACAATGAAGCTTGAACAGAGATAGAGTAGGTAGATCTTGAGCGAAATCTTTACAGCGGCGAACTCACGGTGAACTCGACACCCATGCCGGTATCAATTGAAACGGAGGAGGCGAGAAGACGGTGGAGGTTTGATCAGAAGGTTCCCTCTCTCTCTCACTGGATTCTTGAAGATTCGAAAATGGAAAAAAATGAAAAAAATAGCTGGGTGTGCGTGTGATTTATGTCTGACTCTGTTTCTGTTTCTCTTTTTTTTTTTTGTTTTTTGTTTTTTTTTGAGGGCATAACGGTGATATCACACAGATCAGACAAAATAAACAAAAGCAAAGAAAAAAAAAAAAATGAAGACCCCCTTTATACACCGTAAGGTTTCGAACAGGGGACCTAAAATGAAACATAATTACTAGTTACCACTGAACTACTATATTTTGATAAATTTAAGCCAAAAATAATACAAATACCTTAAATTATTTAATTATAGATTTTTATTCACATTATTTTCCTGAATCATTACAGATATCATGAATGGGGAGAATTGACCGCATAAGTGACATATTTACCAATCGGCCCAACACAATCTGAATGACGGAATCCCATTGCAGAATTTTGGCTTTGAATGAAAAAAAATTCAATGACCAAAAATATCATTGAGTATGTTGTAGTTAACCTATGAATAACTTCTCAAGGAGACTTATTAATTTCTTAACTTGTTCGCTGTTTTTCATTATTTTTTAACTAGTAACTTGTTAACTCAACCACATTACTCATTAAAAGATTTACTTTATTCGTTAATTTCTGTGTTACTTGTTACGTCTTATACATTATAACTTAGTGATTAATCTTTAAAAAGATTTGTTAATTCTTTAACTTGTCAATTCCTTTATCTTACTTACAAATTCATAACTTGTGAAGTCAATGCGAGTTAAATCCCTCATTTGTTAAGCTGATTGTCATCATAACTTGTAAAATCAACTATATTGCTTGTTAAAAGTTTTACTTTACCTATAAACTTCCCTATGTTATTTGTTACGTCCAATACATTGTAGTTGATATCATTATTAATCTTTAATAAGATTTGTTAATTTCTTAATTTTACTTGTCCAGTTGTCCATTCCCTTTCATTATTTTAACTCCATAATGGACAAGTAAATTTAGCAAGTACTGCAAGGGAATGGACATTAAGGAATTAATAAGTCTTCTTAAGGAGTGGTTCACAAGTTAGCTGTAATGTAGTGAAAGAAAGATATTTTGGTCATTTTATTTTAGAATTTAATTTCACCATGTGTCTGGTTCTTAGATAAAATTCTCCCTAATGAATGTCATGCTAACCAGAATTTCACATTTAGTTTTATGGTGTGTTGCTTATTCTTTGAATACACACATATTGATAAATTCATATTTGATTTGGAATTTTCACCATTTAATACGATTATCACAAATAATGCTCAGTCTAAGTCCAGGTGATTTCTTTCTTTCTTTTTACTTTTTAAATGTAAGACTAACACTAAACAATTGTTATGTTCTAAGTATATCTAACTATTAACCGCACTAATCTCTAACAATATTCTTTCCCTAAAAATAGTGTTGTCTTAAAAAATGAATACAAATTCTGGCAAAAAAACAAATAAATATAATATATTATTTTTAAGGGTAAATGAGCAAAATTATCTTTGAACTTTAGATATAGTAGCACCATAGACTCTTAACTTATTTTTTCAACAAATTATTCTCTTAATTTATGAAAATGGTGCAATCTGGCCTCTCTTGTTTATAAAAGATTACTGTGACTGTTAGTTATCATAAAATGACTATAAATGTGAAGTGTGAAATTGAGTTGCTTGTATGCCATGATTATGTGTTAAAAAATGTAGTTGCCAAATGAATGAAATGATTGTGTTGTTGTGTTAGCTTTGAATGTAATGAATGAGAAAAGTAGAGAACAAGCAAATGTAATATGAGATTGAGGATAGAAGTGACATATGAAAGGTGAAAAATGATTATAATGCTCACATGTGATAGCTAGATGTATGAATCAAATAAACTTGTATTTGTATATATGAATGTGTGAAATGTGTGAGGATAATTTATAGCATGACCATTTTGGTGAGAGTTCGCTTAGGCAAGTGGTGTAAAACCTCCAAAATAATCCACAACATGACAAGTAAAGTTACTCTTATTAAACCATAATTAACTCAATAATCCGAGGTATTCAAGAATAACCCAAAAGGGTTACCAAAGTTTGCAATTTACAGGACTGGGATTTCAAGTTTTTAAAAATTCACTAGTGCAAAATAGCAATTTAACAACATATTTTTTACCACAGTTTGTAAAAAAACTGTGGTAATACATGAGATAATAGCTTATTGGTAATTAACTTAAAAAGTAGATCATTTACGGTGACAGTTCTATGATAAACAGTCGCCATAAATGCTTATGAGAAATATTTAAATTAAATAATTAAAATAAATTATTACTTAAATGTAATTCATTTACAAAATAATTATAATTGAAATCAATTATTAATTATATTATTTATTATTTATTAATAATAAATTAATATTTAAGGCAAATTAATTTTTTTCTAAATTAAAAAATATTAAAATAAATTTATTTAGAAGATAATTATACTTCATCAAAATTATTTATTATATTTGTAATTAATTATGTAATATTGAAGATAAATTAATTGTATCTAAAATAAAAAATATTAAATGAATTTTATTTAGAGACTATTATAATAAATAAAAATTATTTATTATATTTCGTAATAAATAATGTAATATCTAAGTTAAATTAATTATGTCTAGATAAAAAAATATTAACAAATTTTATTTAATAACATTGAATAATTAATATATTTTTTAAAGTTAAAATTAAAATGTTCAAAAAATCGGGCATACTAAAAATAAAAGACAAAATAAAATAAATCTTAAAATAATTAAATTAAATTAATTTTATATATTTTATTTATTTATTTATTTACGTCTACTTTGGCGACAGGCCTGAGGGCGCCTGTCGCCAAAGCATGTTTGAATTTCAGACAAATTAAAATTGTCTAGAATTCAGACAATATCTTTGGCGACAGTCCCGAGAGCGCCTGTGGCCAAAGACTTTTTTTTAAAAAAAAATTTACGGCGACAGTCTCTTAGGGATCTGTCGCCATAAATATGTCTTTTTAAAGACATAAATATGTCTTGTTAAAGACATATTTATAACGACAGACCCCGAGGCATCTGTCGCTGTTATTAATTAATTTAAATAAAATCTTATTTTTAAAATAAAATAATATTTTTTAAATAATATTTTATTTTAGGCCACATTTAATGTTTCTGAATTAACACATTAAATAAGACTTTTTAAATAAAATATTATTTTTTAAAATTATATTTTTTTAAGACAGATTTAATGTGTCTAAATTAAGACACATTAAATGTGTCTTAATTAAGTTAAATAAAATATTATTTTAAAAATAATATTTTATTTTAAGACACATTAAAAGTGTCTTAAAATAATTTTTTTAAAAAAACATGATTTACAGCGACAGTTGCCCTATGAACTGTCGCCATAAATGTGTCTGAAAATGAGACACATTTATGGCGACAGGCGGTGGGTTAACTGTTGCCGTTAATGTTGTTAAAAGACTTAATCCCTCAGCTCGTGCCGTCACTCTCCCCCACAGCTCCAGCAATCACAGTCGCCCACAGCTCGTCTTCCCCATAGCTCATCCTCAAGCTCACTCATTCCCCCTTAGCTTGCAGCTCGCTTCCTCATTCCCCTTTAACTTGTAGCTCCCACATCTTGAAGAGTGACCATAGCTCCAGCTTGCCTTATCTCATAGCTTGCCGTCGCCTTTAGCTTGTGTTCCCCCAGCTCGCTGCTGCCGTCAGCTTTTGTGCCCCCAACTTGCTGCCGCCGCCGCCTTCGGTTCAGCTTCCCTTACCCCCATCACATCTCAACTTTCAGGTTTTTTTATTTTTTAATTAGCTTTTTATCCTTCACAAAATTAATTTTTTTGTTGATTTTTTTGTTTTCTTGTTCTTTTTTATTATTTTTTTAGTTTGTTTCTTAATAATTTTTAAACACCTATTTTTAAGCACCGCTTTCATTGTGTTTCCTTTCCTTGCCCCTGCACATCTCAATTTTTAGGTTTTTTTTAATTTTTTCACAAAACTAATTTTTTTACTGATTTTAAATTTTATCTTTTTTGTTCTTTTTACTATTTTTTGTTTGTTTCTTGATAATTTTTAAACACCTACTATCATAAATAAATTAAAATGTTGTTTGATGGCTGTATGTGATAGTTTGAATTGGTTGTTTATTAGAGTTAATAATTATTGACAATTCAGTTGAATTTAATCATTAAAATTTGTTTAATTTTGTTCAAATTGGTGTTTTGGAAAGGTTAAATAGAACAATGTATTTCAATTATCCTTTTAGCTCTACAAAAGTAAATTAGATTATTATTTGACGGTTGTATGTGATAGCTGAATTGGTTGTTGATTAGAGTTGATAATTTTAAAAATTCAATTGAGAGGTTAAATTAAACAAATTGAGGGGTCTAGTACTTGGGAAATCTTGCTTTGTGAACTGTTATGCTGTCAAAATTTTTTTAAATTTCAAATTATAAATTATTTATTGAAATTTGAAATAGGTAATGATGAACCATAGTTGGATAGATGCTTTGCGAACAAGTGATGAATATGAGATATGTTATTATATTTTTTTTCTACTAACTTTATTTATCTTATTTGTATTAGGAAAAATATGGAGAATCTTGTCACCGATAAATCAAGTTCTAAAAGAGGTAAAAGAGGGGCCACACGACTTACTAAGTTAGCCCAAATACATGGAAAAGTTCAACTTGATTTGATGACAAAGGCCAACCAATTGATAAGAAGAAAGGAAACATTTTTAAGAGTTTTGTGGGTTTGGTGGCACATCAAAAAATCAGCATCTTGGAGGAAGAGTGGGATGATATAAATGAAAGTGACAAAAATGATGTTTGGGAATCTATACTGGTATTTCTAATTGTTATATGTCATATCTACTTTTTATTTTGACATTTATGTTGTTACTAAATTCTTTGTTGATGTGTGTTATTTTGCAGATTACTTATAATATTAAGGAAACTCCATTTTTAAAGAACAAGTGGCT